ATTGAGGCGACAGCGGGCGCGACTCTCGGATTCGCAGTGCGCCTTACGGCCCCCGACAGGGGAGACCCGTGGTGGATTTCTCGCCAAGAGCCTCATATTGAATAACTTTTCTCTAACTAGTCAGAAGTTTCCTCTGCGCTACTCTACAAATGGCCGCGCCTTTAGGCTGTTATGGGGCCCCGCGCCGTTACACTTTCTTGGTCTTTTGGCGCAGCTCATTCAACCGCCGTGTCGGCGCGTAAACGGGCCTGCTCCGGTTGTGCCGAATCGCACCGCGAATTTTCGGTATCTTTCAATTCTCCATTAACTCCGAACTCGGACATTCAGCACCTCCCTGGATTGAATGTGAGCAAGAATTCACTGGATAAATACCAAAGGTCTGCCACTTACAAGAGCTGATCTGGTCATCGTAGTCGCCTGAGTAGCCATCGCTGGCCTCACCCAGGTTGTAGTTGTAAGAAAGGGTTACGCCACGATCATCACCCTTGTTGTTGCAATCGGTAAACCTGCAGTTCCATGTCAGCGACGACGTTACTTCTGATTGGCTCGGGGTCTTACTTGTAGAATTGGCAAAGACCACCGGTGTTGGTGCTCAGGGAGCTAGTCTGGTTGTCGTACTTGTCCAAGAATGCCTGAGTCTTGTTGTAGCTAGAGAAGTTGACTAAGAGCATTCTTTCATCAGTTTCGGGCTCATCGCCTCAACGGGTCACGTCGCGTTGAAGACTCATGCTTACCGCACTTGCCAGGAGGGGCTCCCCAGGAAAGGCACTCTCCCCGGAACCCAGCATCAGAGCACTGGAGCACGAAGATGTTCTCAGGCGTGATGATAGGGCGCGTTCCGTTCGGCTGGCCGTCCACAGGGACCGCCTGGCGCTTCTCATTCGCAGTCGCAGGGCCCAGGTCGATGAAAGGTGCAGTCATGAACGCTGCGTAAGCCTCCGGGTGCGAAGACTTGAGCTTCTCGGACAGAGGCACCACGGAGTTCTGCTGCACGGCCGGAGCAGCAATCGCCATGGAGGCGAGGGCGAGCGTTGTGAGAGTTGTGAGCTGCATGATTGATGAGATGAGACTGTAACGAACGGTTGATTGTTATGCACGCCGATTGTCAAAGTTGACAGTAGATTGTCTGGTCTTAAGTTAGGAACGCGTGCGCACATGAGAGGAACTACGGACCGGCCTATTATACTCGTCCGGAGGTTTTTCAAAACGGGAGGCCCTCTTCGAACGACATTGTCTGCCCGGTCATCCCCGTCCAGAAACGGCCCAGGGCGAATTAGGTTTGTACCTTGAAGTGAAGGTTTCCAAGTGACCCGTTGATTGCCCTTTAGCCGATACCATCATATAATTTGATCGGTGCAGACAGCGATGATCTCGGGATTCCAAGGTTGGCTGTGCTCGCTCCCGAGGAGGCGCATAACCCAACCTCAACTTCCCAACTTCCTGGAACCTGGGAGAGTTAATGAAGAGTATGGAGTTGAGGCCCTTTGTGTCGCACCCGGTTCATCCGAAATATTGTGCTTTGCAGATTGCTCAAACTCTATTTCTCATCGGAAATAATGGTGGTGCGACCCCCTGAATCGTAATCCGAGAGTTCTCTCAGATGCGCGGAGATGTCCTGGATTGTTTCGAGATCATTTGCTAGGCTCATGGTTGTTACTTCATATGAGCTTAATTATGCTCAATAATATTCTCAATGATATCGGAGAATATTCCCATCTATTTGAGCATAGGGGAATCATTAATCGCAGCAAGCCACAGGATGATCGTTGCGGCCAGAGTACTGTTCAACGCCTCAGTCTTTGATCTGTTCTGATTATTGGTCAACTAAATTTCCGCTTGCCGTGATCAAAGCCACATTGAGTGTCGACATCGCGCGTGGAGATGCATCAATTGACCAAATCCGTCTGTTGCGCCCATTCCTGACTGGCTGGGATTGAGTGGTGAACAGAGAAAGATTTCATCGGGGGGAAGAGAACGCCTAGTATTCGCCTGTGCAAAAAGTCATCAGACGATGCCAACTAAATTTTACCACGATTAGTTCTTCGGAAAGATTTGCGTCTCTCAAAGGTACCAAGGAAGATGAGCTCGGACTCGTAGTATACGGACATCATCGTCTTAGAAACCAGCTATTTGGATTCCTGATCTTGTCAAACAAGATCATCTGATAAGGTGCATAGAAAATGTTGGTATCCCGCGATTGAGTTTGATAGTCTGCGCCTGTTTCTTTTACCCAGCCACAACACCGCCGTCTTAGGAAGGTTGCTTCACACCACATTCCACATTGACGTCTACCGGGCGGGCGGATTCTTGAGGCCGAACACGGCGAATCGGGCCCAGCCCACCCCCGCAGTCTCGGCACCTTGACAAAGAGTGGGAACGCCCCCGAAGGCGGGATTTCTTACCACACACACGCCGGGTGCTGCAAGTACTCGGCTTATGCAAGACTGCCGTTTCTCGCCGTTGGGGCGTGCTTGCTGACAACTGTGGCCTGACGTAAAATCCAATTGGGGAGCGGGCCGTACGCCATATGCGCCCTCTGCCACGAGGTCGTCAACTCTACCGCGGGGCCAGGAGCGGAACGCAATTCCGCCTCAATATTTCCAGGGAAAATTAAGAAATGGTGCATGAGTCCAAGCCTTGATATTCGAGCTTGGGCCTGGGGGATCAGCGAAGCGAGACCGCTAGTGAGCAATAGTCCCTCCGTCCGTCTCAGTTGTGATGGGTTGCACTTCTTCGGGGGCCTCCGCAATTTGGGCCCTGGGTGAACGGGTCGATGCTAAGCACAGACCGGGACCATAGGGCTGGTGTAGATCATCTGGTCTTGACCAGGACGGGCTTTCTGTCAACACGGCACTGCCTGGCAGACAATGAAGCTCATTGTGGAGCCGTCGGGTGTCAATGAAAACACTGCTCAAGGGCGTTTGTTGTTTCGTTGTATGACTCTGTCAGTCGTGTCATTTTGGCATTCCATCACAAATGCCGAAGTCTTCAATGGGTTCTAGCTTCTCTGTTAGGTCTGAAACTAGCAGCCCCTCGCCTGATCAACCAGAAGGATGGGCAGTGGCTGGCCTCGCGAGGCATTCGGAGCATCCGCTAGCACGGTAGCGCCGCATGCGTCCAGAGCTAGGGAGAGTCCGGCAGCCTGGAAACGCGCTCTTGCCTTTGTGCAGCCATGTCGCGTGGGAGGAGCGGGAAAGGCTTACCACATAGAATTAAGAGGCTTTTCGTCGATGAAGAATTTCGCGGCGCCACATACGCTCGGGATCGAATGCTGCGTGTCGTGTGCTCAGGGGGTGCGATGCGATGTTCTGTTTATATCGGAGGTGGGCTCCCGCTCTCCTTTGCGGGAGAGCGCGAATGCCGTGAACTTGCTACGCCAACGAAGGCCAACTTGTTGCCAAAGAGTTCCGCAAAGACAAGTTCTCCAACATGAGGATTCCCCCGATCAGTGTCATCTTGGCTTGGCCACGACCGAACTACACGAATCCAGAGACGAAAGGACCAGGGTTGATGATCATTGAGTTGGTGTTTTTGCTTATGGCCTTGACATGTTTGGGATTGCGGATGTACGTCAGACTTGTCATGATCCGCAAGACTTGGTGGGACGACTGGCTTATGGTGGGAGCCATGGTAAGCTCGTGAATTCCCAAACAATATGCAAGGATTGATCATGTCTAATCATGTGAGATGACAGGTTTTCTGCATCGGCGTTACGATTTGCGTTATCCTCGGTTCGAAGCCCTTTACAAAACGATCAAAAACTATTCAATGCTAATGTCTATGGATCAGCAACGGAATTGTACGGTTGGAATCTACATGTGTGGGACGTGCCATTATCTGAAATCAGGCAAAGTCGCCAGGTAAGGGTGGCCGGCACACGACGGGACTCCAGACTTACTGACGCACACATCACAGATCTCAATGGCGGCGCAGACGCTGTTTCTATTCGCCTCCGGCCTCTCAAAGCTTTCGATTCTCTGCAGCTACCTGAGGATTGCCGCCCCCGGCACCTGGTTTTCCCGCCTCACCTGGGTCACGGGCATCCTCGTTTTCCTCTTGACGTGGATCTTTATGATCGTCTTGTGGACTCAGTGCGCGTAAGTTACTCGACTTGAATAATCGCGCTCCATCTAGAAGTTTCGAATGCTGATCTTGGGGCCTGATGCAGACCGATCTGGCACTATTGGACCCTCTTTGCCGACTGGGGCAACTGCATCCCAGAGTGGCCCCCGCTGGCCGGCCAAGGCATCACGACCGTCATGACCGACATCGCCGTCTATCTCCTTCCGATGCCTACACTGTTCAGACTGCAGATGCCAATGATACAGCGAATCAGCTTGGCCGCGCTGTTCGGTCTTGGCCTGTTAGTGGTCATCGCGGGCATCATGCGTACGTACTGGGTGCTGTACGTCGAGATCACCTACGTCGAGGACCCGAGCTACGACCTTACGTGGGACTCCTACAATATCTGGATCTGGACAGCTCTCGAGGCCAATTTCGCCATCATTTGCGGCTGTGCACCTGCGATCCGACGACTGTTCACCAAGGGCGGAAATCAGAGTCAGTTCAAGGTTGGCAGCTCTGTACAGACAATTGGCTCCTCGGGGATGAAGAGAAAGAGGGGCAAAGGGGGCTCAGGAAACGACTTGGAAGGACATGGGCTCTCAGCCTTCGAGTCAAGGGCGGATAATGACAATGATAATGATGCGTCTGTGACGGAGCTGGTACATTTGGAGGGGGAGGATAAGAAGACATGAGTCATTGGCAGTTTAGTAGCCAGCAACCCAACAGATTATGGTAGTTGTGTTCTGTTCGCAGTGGAAGTACTTGCACCTCATCTGTTATTCTCTCCGTGACCTTGTCAATAATGCTCATAATCCATCTAAAGGTCGTTATTGTTTCTTCAACTCTAGCATGCCGGACCTGGCCCTGCTCAACGCCACTCCCACTACAAAGTGTGAACATCTTGTCCAGCCATCAACAATTCAGATGGGTTTCTCTCAAAGGGCTTTGTCGTTGAGATATACGGAAGGCGCGCCGGGAGTGTCGAACATCTCCCGTAAGTCGTGAAGAGCGTTCTGTTGTGTCGGCCGATGGTCATGAACTAAGCAATCTGTAAGGTTGATCCGTCTCAGCTGTCGAGTTTGTCCCTGCCTAACCGAATCGGCAATTTCTCTCAGACCAACCTGGACAAGTTCCTCGAGAAGGAAATCGCCGACGCGACTAATCTCCAAAGTCTCAAGGCATTGCGGAATCATGCTGCCGATGTTGTTCATCATGAGATGGTTCTGGTTATCGGTTCGAGAAGTAAAGCTGTGCGTATCGATGCTCAGGTCTCGGAGCTTGGCAAACTCTTGCAGAGACATGACTGTTTCGCTGTCTTCCCATTCAAAGGGATACTGGGTGCTGTGGAAATCCATCTTCAGGGTGCGTAGCTGGCGATGGAGGTTCGGGAGGTCCAGCTTGGTTGTGCCACTGGGCTGGCTAGCTGCAGCATCGTACTCGTTCCTGAGGAGATTGCACAGCATTTGCGGTCCTAGGAGGGGTTTCCTGGATGTTTCGGTACCCGATGGTAGTCCGCTATACTGAAAGTGCGTGATGTTTGGAGTCGCCATGAGAACCTCCGTCATGCTTCTCAAGTCCATCGAGCAATTGATGAATTTCAGGCCCCGGAGGTTCACAAGTTGACACTGCGACGGAACCGTATAGGACATTGAGTCGTATATCTCCAAGGTAGAGAGCCTAGGGGCACCTCCAAGTATGATCTCATGGGCTTTGCATTTTCGTGCTTTAGCGGACCGCATCTGGATCTTGAGACGTCGAAGATTTGGGAGTAGATGATTACCTCCGGATGGTCGCTTTTCAATCCATTGCTGCAGTAGATCAAATTTCCAGTCTTGGCACAGGTTGACATCAAGAGAGGTCAAGTTGGGTAGGCATGTAAGAAACACCTGACTGATATGCTCCAGAACATGATCGAACTGCATCCCGATACGACACCTGTTCCACCCATCTGGCAAATGCATGCCCAGAGCTCCAGCCAAGCGGTTGATCCAAGGTTCTTTCGTCATATTCTCTTGGTCCTTGGACCAATTGATGTCGTCGCTGCTGCTTCCGTACAAGTTGTGGTGAAGGTCTGCATGGCGCACGAGCTCGGGGCGGGAGCTACCTTCGTAAGGGTCGAGAGTTTTCAGAAAGGTGACAGCCTTTGAGGGGTGATGATCGTGATAGTAGTCCGAGTATAGCATACAGCCTGCCGCATCATGCAACTTGCGACATGTCCGCATCAATCGAGCAAGAGCGATTCGGCATGCAAGAGAGTTGACGGTCGAGACATCGACTGAGAGGTCGTAGACATGTTGCTCTATCTGCAACGGAAGGACAAGCTGGCGGCAGATTTCGACGATAACCTCTGGCGGGCAATCCGTAAAACGCGCCATGTTTGGTCAAGAGAGGTCAAAATCTGATCTAAGTTTTCAGGCAAAGATCATCATAGACATCTTGATTTTATGAATCATTGTTGGCTGGTACGGGCATCTTTCTTCCAAATATAGCCCGACTCCCGTGAACTAAGGAGCAATAACAGCTTCGACAACCAAATGATTAAACAATACTAAGGTACCAGAACGTGCTTTCCATTGTTGAAAGACGGCATGCGGTCAATGTTTGTTGTCAAATTGATGACAATCATGGAAGAAATGATCCTTCGCTTTGTGCCAGCAGCACCTGAATAGAGGCCCAGGGAGGCAGCTGGGGCTGACGTTTATGTTTCTCAGGAACGAAACTTGAGACCTTCGTATTAGAAATGATATTTCAATGGTTATACTGAGACATGGAGATAGGATCAATAGCACGAAACACCAAAAAGGGAACCCGTGAGATTGTATTATGTCAATCGTGGTGAGGATTTGAGCCTCACGCGGGGGTCGAACCCGCAACCTTGAGATTAAGAGTCTCACGCTCTACCGATTGAGCTAGCAAGGCGGGTCAGATGGTGATGCGGTGGGTCCTGGGTCCAGGGAATATCATTCGCTAGCGCCAGCTGAGGGCTGGAATCACGCCTGATCTGATTGCGATCTCTCAGATCTACATTCCAGAAACCTGAGGAGTAATATGGAACCTTTCGAAGAACATTATGTAAAGCCCGAATTGGCAGGTGAAATGTGACTGTCAGTTTTTGACTACACCACTCATTTGCTGTTGGTGGCTGAGTCTTTTCGTCGAAGTCTGATGACAAGGTTCATGCAGGGGACTTTCTGTATTGTCATAATGACTCTATCAGCACTGAATAATTTCTCTATAGAAGAACTAACCTGCATGGTACTTTTCACGAGACGTGATTGGTTCCCTTCGAATTGAACTGGTGTTTTGATCTTTCCATCCATCACTCAGCTTTTGAACGAGCGGCCTTCTCTCCTTGGTCCTGTTGCCTAGGATTCGCCTGCCTGGGCAGACAAAACGGAACTGGGGCTATTCCGTGTCCTCGCTTACTAGCTGGCGCAACCATGATAAGAGATAGCAAAGCGAGCAGAAATTGCCAAAGTCTTTGGTAATGTGGCGTTTTGGCCGCCGCGCTTGAACGCAGTCATTTCTCATACCGCGAGTCGTTGGAGGTTAGAAACAGTTCGTGTTCTCCGTCGAGACGAGCACCAATCGCTGTCAAGGGAAGTCGGGAATATCCCCGCTATCCCTGTCCCGTTGGTAAGCTCTACGTCGTAGGCGAGGAATGATAGGATGATCCGCGTACCAATCAGACGCCAAAGTCAATTTTCGTCAGCAACCATTGATCCACCCGCTGGTTCCCCCTTCATCTAATTGCTGAAGCCCAAAGCCTCGCACAACGAAACTTGGGCAGGCTTTTTCTGTCTACAGCTGACACGTGCCGAAGTCCTGTTTCGACCCAGGGACACCCCGTCTTGCCTTTGGCACAGGCACAACCCGGCGAGCAGCAAGCAAGCTGTATTTTTCGGCAGTGAGAGACGGACTCGCAGAATGCGAGCCTTGTCCGCTTTCATCCCCCCTTGAAGTGTCTCACTTTGCATGCCCCCATTGGCTCGCCGTCAGCGAGCTGAGCTGACATGACAGGGTCTAGAATCCTGACGCTAATTCCTCTTGTCAATATCCGAGCCCTAACAATTAGGCTCTTTGACAATTTGATGATCTGATTTGATGCGCGCTGACCGCCGGGCAAGCAAGGTATTCTACCCCGTGCTGCGCCGAAACAGGAGTCTTCCCCCCTCAAGAGAGAGATGCCGCAAACGGCTGTCTGCAGCGGTTTTCCCTCTCGCCCACCACCACCCCCTTGCGCCAACCGGCTCGACTCGACACAGCTCGACGAGGGGGACACTTTTCACCCGCTCTACCGCTCTCAGCAATGAACCCCGGCCCCAACGCCAAGTCGACGGCTGCCCAAAATTAGCGCCATGTTGGATCGGCCACAGAACCAAGGTTGCTGCTGCTCTCAGGTGACATGAGCACGGGATGGCGCGCACAGGGGAGCAGGTTGTTATTTGGTACAGCGACCGGCCCCCAAATTAGCAGCAAAACTGTGACGCAGGGAGCGGAAGTGACACCACCACCACCACCATCATTTTGCTGCTCTGCTACTGTCTGCTGCTGCTGCTTGCTGCCCACCGTGTGGTTCCTGGCCGTCTGGCGTAAAACTATTGAGCGGCCAATTCCCACAGCCTCCTCGGTCGCTGCGCCTGGTTCGTTCTTTCGGCCCCTCCAAAACTTGAAACACACCTCTTCAAGATCATCAGAGCCTCTCCATAGGCCACCTCGGACTTTTTCTGATTGTCCCTTTTTTTGTTTTTCCTTTCTCACACAACCCGCGCCCGCACCTCTTGGTTCCTGGCTATATTCAATTAGGGGTGAACGTGGCCTTGGACTGGAGGGTAAAGGCAAAGGTACCTGAGGGCTAGCTGCGGTTGAGACCGGCCCGTTTTGTACCTTCTTTTCTCTCCTCTCCATGTGCCTGTTCGAGTTGGACAGCGAGCAACAATGACAAGAAAGGGCCAGCCAAAGGTTCGAACCGGCTGTCTGACCTGCAAGTAAGTACCTGCTCTTTCTTCGACTACCCTCGAACTCTCGGCCCTCGACTCGGTTCCGCCCGGCGGCATCTCAATTCCCGGTGCCCCAAAAAGCCCGCATGACGTCGTTTGCCAGACCCGACGGTCTGGAACGGTCCCGCGCCGTGACGGAGAGTCTCCGAGACGAGGTCGCGGAGGCCGGACGGGCGACCGGTTCAAGTTGCCTCTCGGTCACTCGGCCTGATCGGAGAGTCCGGCTCACGTGCTCGGTTACTTCATCCGATTACCAATAAACATTCCCATTCTAATTCGTACGCTTGTCTTCCCGTAGGTCGCGCAAGGTGAAGTGCGACGAGGCAAAGCCCGCTTGCCTTCGATGCACCAGCACCGGCCGCAAATGCGATGGCTACGCCGTCGTCGTCCCCAGTAACCGCGCCCTTGCCCGGGCCCGGTCACGGGCGACGAAGTTGAACGCCGCTCTGGCTCAGGCATCTGCTGCGTGGGAGGGCGACATGGACGAGGAGAAGATCATGGAGCACTTCCGACGGAAGATCGCGCCCATGATACCCGGGCATCTGGAGGGAAACCTGTGGACCGACATCATACCACGCATGAGCAGGACGGAGCCGGCGTTCCGAGAAGCGATGGCTGCCATCTCGACGCTCATGCCTGGCATGCCAGACAACGCCTCTGACGACGGCAATGCACCTGGGGTTCCTGAACCTTACACCCGGCTTTTGGGCATACTTGGGGGAAACACCCGCAAGCAAAAGCCCGGAGTAGACACGCAGGCAATGAGTGGCCAGTCAAGAGCTCCTTTCAACCTAGCTGGTATCGTCGATTCCCCTGCAAGCTCGTCGTCCACCAGTCTTCCCTCGACAGGTCGCCTATCGAACACCCCGCTCCCGGATGGAAACCGAGCAGAAACATCATCAAGCTCGTTCACGCCACTGCAACCATACAACGACGAGGGCGAATCAGATCCAAAGGAGAACAGTGAGGTTAATGTGACTCTGTGTGGCTGCCTCCTCTTCATGTCCGTGGACTTCTTGCGAGAAGGCCTTGGAGCGGCGATGGAACAACTTGCTACGGGCATAGAAGTCCTCAACAACGTGGATTATAGCGAACTGTCCCGAATGACCATCGAGGACGTTCTTCCCAAGTTCTATCGATTGAGCATCATCCAGATGTGCTTCTACGACAGACCTTGCTTTCCTAACCTCAACCTAAACCATGGACCCGTATCGAGATACAATCTAGGTCCTTTTGACAAAAGCTTTAGTATATACCGACCGCAGTCCGCGATGGACACCATCATCCTAGACGCCATCAGGTACATCCGCTCAGCAGGCCCCGAATCCTGGACAGATTCACGCCTAAGGGGCCCCGTCATGAGCGACGAACAGACTGCCATGTGCAACGCTTTCGACAAGTGGCATGCCGCCTTCACGGCCTTCATCCGCGAACCACGACTCGGATCCGACCAACCCCTACCACCACACGCCGAGATTATTTGCATGGAGACGGAGATGAAGTACTGGGTCGCCAAAATGTGCATCAGCGTGTGCCGGTTCTCGGACGAGTCCGCGTACGACTCCTTCAAGACCCACTTCAGACGGATCACAAGCCTCGCCCAGGAAATCCTCACCAGGTGTCCAGAGCTTCCGCCAGACTCGTCGCTCTACAGCTTCAACTTTGAGATGAGCTATCTCCCATTGATGGAGTTCGTCATCTCCAAGTGTCGCTGGCTCGACATCCGTTATCAGGCCTGGCTCATCGTCTGCGAACTCGCCACCGGACGCAGGGAGCCCGTCACCCTTGGGAACCTGCACCTTGTTGGGCAGCGAATGATAGAGCAGGAGCACAACGTCAAAATACAGGAGGTAAATCGAGAGAACGCGCCACTGTTCTCGCTGCCGGCCGAGGAGATGCGCGTAAAGGACTATAGCACCGATCAGCGGTTCGCGGATCTAGCAGGACCCGTCGATGGCGACAACTCGACCACAGTGCAAGTACCATACACGCAGCGGTTGATGCTTAGGTGTGGCAGCTATGAGCTCGACGAGCTGGCAAGATGGGTGTCTAGGGGCGCACCCTCACAATAGCATTATTCATCAGTAACGAAACGACTTATGAACAAATAGCCCCTACTCTTTAGCAAACTCAAAAAGCATTAGACTATCTTGAAAAATGACGTGTTATCCTGGATGAGACATCGTCACTTGTTTTTGCAAGGACAGACCTCCTGTGAACTCTATCCCTCCAGGTTGTGAACCTGTTGCGCAAATGCTCTTGGGCAGGTCTACCAGGTCATTCAAAGTGTACGATCGTTACGGAGAAAGACAACTGACAGTCGTTAAAGAAGCAATCCCTCGCATATGCATGTAGAATTTCGCACCCGCTTCCATCGTCCCTTACCAAACCCGACAACACCGTCTTTTCATACCAACCCCACGACACCGACATTATGGCGAACTCACAGGAGCATGCAACCACTGTTGTCGATGACATCGCGGTCTGCAAGGGTGACCTGATTAGTGAGCTGAGAAAGGCACAGCATATCCTACGGGGTATAGTCCGAGACAGCCGTTGCTGTGTCTGCTGGGGTGTTCTGCAAAAGACGTATGTCGGCCAATGTGGACATAGCATGTGTATGAAGGTACGTGTTTCTCAAGAAATTGATGGGCTCATATGTTGACTGGTCTCTTCTAGTGCGCATCGCCAATGTTCATGGCCATCACTGAGGAAATCCAATTGGCAAAGTGTCCCCTATGCCAAGAAGTCATGAACCACTTCCACTTACCAGGAAGGGGAGGACCTCCCAAAATTACGCATTCGTACACAGTATGTTTTCTATCTTTGAAACAAGTAGTTCTCGATGTCTTGAGACTCCAGCTGATGATGCTGTGGTACAGATAGATCACATTTACGAGCCTTTGCGTCTGTGGGCGGCGGAAAACATGTCCACAGAGACTGGTGAGCTTACGACAAGCCCAGAGATTATTCCGAGAAGACTGGAGCATGGGGATAATTCCCAAGACGATGAGACCTGCGAGTCTAGGGCTACTGATGATGTTTCGAGAAGACTAGAGCCTGTGGGAAAGTCCCAAGACGACAAAAACTGCGAGTCCACTGACGAGACGATGGAACCGTTCCACTGGATTGCTCTCCTCCTCATTGTTGGTACATTTGTATTGCTGTAGCTCAAGGAGTACTATGAGACTCAAACTTAAGGAGCTAGACGAGATGACAATGGGTTGAAGATCTCAAGGGTATTATCGAAATATTCGAAAAGCTTTAACCGTTTCTCAACGGGGTGGCTGGCGAACCTCTATGGTTGTGGGTATCTTCACCTTGACAGCTACTCGATCTTGCTTTTCCCGCACGTGACGCATCGAGCCCAAACTCTTCTTCAAAAGCCCACAATCAAACATAAGAAATTCTAGACTGCGGTAAATAGAATTCCATCTCTTCCAATTGCAATCGGTATCATGGCCACAGTCGAGAAATGCCTAGCAGACCTCAAGGCCTCCAAGAGCCTCCACGGGCTCTTTGCGGAGCTTGTAGAAGAAAACGACGGGCTCCGCAAGCTACTCGACGAAACGATCGCACAAACCTCTTGCTACATCTGCCTTGAGGTTCTGCAACCCATGCATACCCCTCAGTGCGGACACAGCATTTGTCTACAGGTACGTGCATCTAAAAGCCCATCGGTCCATTTGTGGCTTGCTGGCTGATCGCTCCTAGTGCGCACAAAAGGTTTGCCTTCTACGGTCGGAAGGACCGCATAAGGTACCATGCCCCCTATGTCGAAAATGCATTCATTATGAGAGTGACGGGCAGAAGCTCAACTTGACGTCCACGAGTGCGGTATGTTACCCATACTCATTAACCTTGTCGAGCGTATAATGAAACTAAGATACGGTGCAGATAAATGACATTCGCGAACACTTGCGACCATGGTTTGAGGGCGAATCAAGCCAAACTACCGGAGTTGGAGCAAGCGTGACAAAAGCTTGCAGTGACGACCTCATATGGCGAGACATCGCGAGGCGTCTGGCAATAAGTCTCTTAATTGTTCTTTGTTGCGTTGCTGCAGCAATCATCGCACTTTTATTTCAAAGTTCAGAAACTTCGTCATAAGTTACCAACACAGCCTTTCTCGTTGGAAGAACGAAATTACGCGAAATGATCCGAAGTAAACTACGCGCGAAACAACAGTGCTAAAGCATTCCATGCGAAGTTGGTTGGTGCTAAATATATACAGCGGATCTAAAGGCCAAGTAATGTGGTTTCTGAAAATCGAAAATCTAGACAGTCACAAACTAAAAACGATCCTCCTTCTTCTCAAATCTCCCCCTTCAACGCCTTCAATAAGCCATCAGCGGCATGCTCGCCCAAAGCATCCAAATTGCCCATGCCCAGAAGCTCCAACATGCTGATATTGAATCCAAATGTAGCTCTCCACCAAGACCTCATCTCAATAGCGACCAAAGAATCCATGCCCAAGTCAGCCAATGAGGCTGATGTCTGAATCTCATCGTCACTACGAAGGACAAGACTGAACAACTTCCGACCAATCTCATATGCCAGAGTTTTAGCGGTATCCGGATCCTTGAGAGCCGCCTCGTCGTGCCGAATCGTCGCCAAAAGCGCCTTCATCGTGTCGCTGCCAGCGCCCGCCCCGCCATCGCCGTCGCCACTGATGTTGCGATAAGCCGCCATCCGCATGTCTTTCTTCCACAGGGCGCGGTTATTGGGGCTGTTTAGCGGTATCGTGGACGCCAGGCCGAGGACGAAGTTTCTGTTTGCTGATGGGCTTCGGCACATGATCATTGCTGCGCCCACGGCTTCCAAGAGCTCTGTTTCTTTGATCATGTAGGCGCCAGTGGCGAGCATGGCCCTCCGGAGATTCTCGTTATTGGAAATGACACCGATATCATCGACAGCTCCAACGTCAATAGAGACCACGGGAAGACCCTTGCTTGAGCGGAATTGAGAGAACGCATCCAGGAAGGTGTTGGCGGCGGCATAATTGGCTTGGCCTGGTTGACCGATGACACCGGAAATTGATGAGAAGAGAACGAAAAAGTCGAGTTCAATGCCCTCCGTAGCGTTGTGCAGGTTCCAAGTCCCCTCGACCTTCGGTGATGCTGCTTGTGTCCACTCATCAAGAGTCATCTTGTCCCATGCCTGGTCTCGCAGAACCATAGACATTTGGAGGATGCCTTTGAGGTTCGGCGCTTGCTTGACTGCTCTTTCAACATCCTTGGCGGAAACGACGCTGCCCTTGACCAGGGTAACCTTTCCGCCCATGCTTTCCAGCTCCCGAATAAAGTGCTTGTCCTCATCATTGCTGCCGGCACTTCGAGAAAGGTATACCAGGTGTCGTGCGTTGTGCTCCACCATCCAGCGGGAGACGGCGCGACCAAGACCTCCCAGACCACCCACCAAGAGATACGAGGCTGACTCGTCGAGTTTGGCAGATGTTCTCCTCGTGACAGTGCCGGTGTCCATGTTGAGAGCGGCATCGGATGAGTTGCGAATGGAGATGACAATTTTACCCATGTGCAAACCCTGTTGCATGTAGCGGAAAGCCTCCCTAATCTTGGATGCACTGAAGATCTCAATAGGTCGAATGGGAAGAATATGGCCGGCCTCGTAGGCCTCAACAACGGACTTCAAAAGCCTTAGAAAAGATTAGAAAAACATCCGTCAAATCTGGTCGTTTGACTTACTCTTTGCAGAGGGCTTGCCTCTTGAAGCAGATCTGATCGAGATCAACACAGCAGTAAGATCGATTGGCGAGGAAAACATCCATGTCAAGCTTTCCGCAACCAAGGAGATCTCTCTTGCCGATCTCCACCATCGTGCCGAACTCAGCAACACATCGCCATGTAGCGTGCAAAAGATCGCCAGAGAGTGAGTTAAGCACAACGTCGATGCCCTTGCCCTGGGTGGCATTGTTGATTCCTTCAACAAAGGAGGTGTCGCGGGAGTTGAAGATCCGGTCTCGAGGCATTTCGAAAGCCTCTGTCAGGTACTTGACCTTCTCGTCATTACCGACTGTGACATAGATGTCGGCACCAGCCATGCGTGCGAGCTGAATGGCAGCGATACCGACTCCGCCGCAGGCGCTGTGAATGAGAACAGACTAGATTGTGATCAGTAGCCGTTTTGTAAGTTGATTAATCAGACGAAAGCACTTACTTGTCCACGCTGAAGTCGTCCGATGTTGAAGAGTGCGTACATAGCGGTGGCGTACACACAAGGCATTGTCGCAGCATCTTCAAGAGACAGATCATCCGGAATCTTCTGGCAGAGATTCTCGGGAATCGTGACAGAGGTTGAGAATGACCCGCGACTGAAAAGGAAAACACGATCTCCAACTTTTAGATCTAAGACTTCAGGACCAATTGCAGAGACGATGCCTGCTGCTTCAAGCCCGAACCCCTCTTCGGGAATTTCAACGATACCATTGGCGCTGAGGACATCCTAGGTTTATGTTAGAAATTGACATGAACAGGGTGGACATGAAGTGACTTACTCTGAAGTTGAGACCGGCGGAATACGTCTGAACCTCCACAAGATCACGCTCGAGTTTCTGAGCCTCTCGACGAACCCAAGTGAGCGCAGCCAAAATGCCCGGCTTCTTGGTCTCCAATACCACGCGGCCGGAGTCATCGGCCGCAAGGAGCTCATCCTCCAATGGGAATGGCGCGAAACGCCCAACATGGACGACATTGCCGATGATTGAGTACTCATAGTCGGGATCAAGTTCCTCGTCCTCATTGGCACAGTCACTCTGGAACTTCTCAAAGACTTCTGCGATACGGCCCGTGGAAGATTCGAAGTTGTCAACCTCACAAGTGGCGAAGCGAACCGACAGCTCGGATCTCAGAGTACGAGCGGTCCCGAGGACCTGGCTGTATGAAGGGTCTTCGCAAGCCATTTGGGACAAAGAAGTGACCCAGAGCAGTCGCGATCCGCTCGTGTTAAGTGTGTCCACAAGCTTCTTTAAAGCGTCGTAACGATTCTGATCGAGGTTGTTGAAGAAAGGCGAGTGCTGGTCGAGAACAGCAATGACATCTTCACCTGGAGGAACCTCATCTCCTAAAATACGTCGAGTGACCTTGTACCCAGAAGCATCAAGAGTCAAGGCGAGCGAGTCGGACTTATCGCTCCTCGCAATCTCCAACAGTGTAATGTTGTTGACTGCCGCAGCGACCTCGATGCCCTTGTCGTCGATAGGCTTCACCACCATGAAATTGTTGCGACGCAGCGACTCCTGCTCGGAGTCAGGCAAAATAGCCGATGTACCAAGACCAGCCTTTCTCAGTGCGGACTCCCAGTGCTCAGTGTCTGCATAGGGCTCGTTGACTCGGCCATCCTTCTGAGCGCTCCACCACCATGGAAGGACGCCCAAGATCAGGTTGATCCACTTCGAGCTGGAGAACAGTTCCGTGAGAAGAAGACGGCCGCTTGGGCGAAGCAACTTGCGGACATTGGAAAGCGCATCAGTCAGGGCGGGCGACGCGTGCAGTACATTTGTTGCAATTATGACGTCGTACTGCTCGTCGCCGAAGTTCTGTTCCACCAGATCGCGGCTGATGTCCAGCGTCGCGAACTGCATGTTGGGCGTGAGCTTGAATTGCTCCTTGGCTGCATTCACCATGCCGGAAGAGGAGTCGCTGAATGTGTAGCTCGAGTACATTACGCGTCTGTCTTCGAGCGCCAGAGTCTTCAAAATGTCTGCAGTGTGGACACCCGTGTCACCGCCCAGTTCCAGAATCTTCAAATTGGGCTTGCTGTGTGAGATCTGCCTGATCAGAGGGGCAAAATCGAAAGCCAAGTCCCGTAGTGAGTTGACGTGACTGAGGCTGTTGTCCTCAATCAGCAGACCTAGAGGATTGTCCTGGCCTTGGAAGATGGTGGTGATCCGGCTGGCTACTTTGACGATAGCGGAAGCTACTCCAGCAGCCGGGGTATTCTCCAAAGCGAGAGCCTTGTCAGTGATGACCTTGAACAAGTCCTCGCTTTCCGTTCGCGGACCCTTTGAGATCTGTTCATTGACCCAGTCGAGATACAACTTCAAATGCGGAACCGGAGTTTGGAGGCCTTGAAGCTGTGCTTGAATGTAGTTCAAGCAGGCCCAAGTAATCTCGTCCAGAATAGTCATGTAAGCTGTACGGTTGTCATCCGT